ATGTATGCAGATAGTGACCCATTTGATTGTTTATATATTTGTTGCTTTAGCCAACACTGTTTTCACACATAAAAGCTAATTTGAAAGCGGATCTTTCATCTTTAGGCTATATATATGGTAGGGAGATAACCTGTGCCCCAGTCTAAATTGCATAAATACATATTTATTTTTATTTATGTAAGCACTTACTCAAATATCCATACAAAAGATTATTAAATTGTCACAATTTTGTAAAAGGTAGCAGTCTTTTATACACATAACTAAAAAAAAAGTAGAAGTAGAGTGCGGATTAAGAACAATAGCAGAGGAAAGAGAGAGAAATGAAATGAGCGAGAGAGGGAGAGAGAGAGATAGAGAGAGAGAGAAGAGCGAGCATAAAAGCAGAGATAACTTGTTAATGAAATACTTTTAAGCAAAGCATAAAACGCTCTAAGTCTTACTTTGAGTTCATGAGAATCGCATAGTAAGGCTGTATTTATAATTTAAATTTGCAGAAACATATACAAAGGTATATACATATATACATACATATATTCATGCAGGCATACATACTTACAAACTTATAAATATATGCATTTGTAATTTGTCTGGTCGAAGACATCTTCTTCAATGGGTTACATGATTCGTGACCAAACTATAAAAGTTTCTAGCATATATTTGGGTATAAAAAAAGGTTTTTTCTACACATTCGATCAATTTATTTATTTCTAGATTCTGAGATATAATCGGGGCACATGGTGCCTGCTAGTTCCAACTAAACTTTTTACCTAGCGCTTTTGTAAATTCAATTACTGTTTCCACGTAATTCTCCCGTGTTGTTGTTGTTGTTGCTGCTGTTGTTGTTGTGATTTTTTTCTCACATATTTACTTGAGTTTTTACCATTTCAGTTGCTCATCAGAGCAGCTGCCTCATCATCGGCGACGACAACAGAGCGCCTACAACAACAACAACAATAACAGCAGCTGTTGTCGCTGTCGTTGATTCTGCTATCAGCTCTGCTCAAGCAGACGTCGACGTCGCTGTCGCAGCCGCTGTCATCGTCATCGACTGCACTGCAGTTCAAGTTCAATGTCAAGCGCATTTCGCTTTGTATTTGTTTGTTTTTGTATGTATGTATGTATATATATATGTGTGTTTGTGTGTGTGCATGGCTTTGTGTGAACTGTTGTATTGCATGTGCTCATATACATATGTACATACAAGTGTGTTTGTTTTATTGTATTTACCTTATTCCAAAAACGAGCAACTTTTTTGTTTATAGTCCAATTTAATCTTTTTATTGCACTCTCGTTGTTGTTGATTTTCACATTATTATGTTTTCTGCCTTATGGCCGAGTTGTACAATTAGCTTTGATTCATTTTGGCCAACAACGAGCAGAGCTTTAGATTATTTGCATCCTGTTGCATTTTTCTATAAATATCAAAATTACACAGATTTATATTGAAAAATTAATTAAATTTGAATATGGAATTATCGAAGAGAGGTTAGTTTTGCTAGAGATATGGAAAGGGCCTTCCCAAGAGCGTGAAAGTTATATATTATGTCATTTTTGAACATTCTCACAATCTGTTTATACAACCAATGTGTATAATAGAATAATGATGAGAGACGTATACCCAAAATAAGACTGATAATAATTTACATTCATAAAATATTAACCACCTCCAAAAAAGTATCTATTGGATTTAATTTAAATTAAATTTAAAATTTTATAACCACAAAGAAAAAAAGATCCAACAAGTGTAAATAATAAAACGCAGATTATGGCTGGATCTGACGTGTTGGATAGCGTTTCGCTGCGGGACTCCACAGATGCGGCTACAGCGGGCAGGGCGGGGAACATGAGTCCAACATGCGTGTGCGTGAGTTCGACGGGCCTCACTTCGGGTTTGGCGTTGACTACTTCGGGAACGAACGATTCGGCTACGAACGAGCCGAGCTACGCACACGCACCGTACGCAAACGCGTTGCGTGGGTCTTTTATTTAGCGCGTGCTCTCATCAGCCACTCCCCCCCGCCCCTGCAGCACTTCGTTGTACCCCGCTCCTCTGCACTGTTCTGTTCGCTCTGTTGGCTCGTTCAATCATCTGCTAGAACTTTGCTAATTTCGTCTAATCAGTTAACCTTGAAATGTTGTTGTTGTTGTTGTTTTCTCCCGGTATTTGTTCTTGTTTCTAAATACATACACACACACACACACACACACACACATACACGGCCGTATTGTATAACTTGTTGTTGTATTTGTATTTTTATTTGTTGTCGTGGAATTTGCGCGCGTTGTGTGCATTAATTTATTTGAGGCTCGTTTGATTTCAAGGTGAAATACGCAAAAAATATAAGAATCAACCAACAAAAATACTATATATACATATATCGCGGGAAATTTGAAATGAAACAAGCACATATTTACTCGATCATATGATACCCTGTACCCAGGTCTAAGGTACACCCGGACACATTCGTATTCGCATGGCATTCGAGAACCTACGCATATAACAAATTGATAGGTTTTATTGCCTCAGAAATCATTGCATTTATATTGATAGCCCCGAGGGTGGATGGCTAAATCAGTGGGATTTTTCCACAAGACTTTATATGTGATTTTGAGCTTCCCAACTAATGAGAAAATATGGAAATTATGTGTACTTAAATAAGGTGAATTGCCTATATTCATACTTTACCCTTCAATTGACTCACTTTTACTTTTCCTCCTTATCCCTTTATCACTCTGCCCTTTTCATCCCACTCAATCTGTTTCTCTCTGCTCCTCGACTCCTTCGACTTATTACAATAACATTAGAATCTCTAGACTTGATTTGAATTCATGAAAATCGCATAGAGAGGCGTTGTTTTTATGCAATAGCAACATTTTTACTTTGTATTCCTGTTAAAGGAGCATAGTTCATACGAATTATAAGCAGCTTTGTTATCGATTAGTCGCCAATCGATTTTCCAACAGTTTCTGCTGGTATTTTTCATACATTACACATACGCCGCATGGTACAGTTTGAAAATTGGTTGCGCTGCCTGCCTGTCGTCCCCTTATCTATGCTTGTATCGCACACTTCATTTATCTCCAACTCCCTTGGCCTCAGTTTTGACATTGACTTTGAAGATAACAAATTTGCCCATCCACCCCTCTGCCCCCCCCCCTCTGTCTTTCTCTCTACCCCGCGATCACGTTATTTAAAATTAGAATATATTGCAAGAAATATATGTATGTATGTATGTACATATGTAAGCGCCCAGTTCCCCCCTGCCCCTGCCCCTGCCGCTATCCAGCCGGGCCTGGCGCTATCTGACTGTCTGTTATCTACACGAGGCACTCACGCGCCGAGCGTCGACCCCCTAGACGCGTCCCTCCGCCGACAAGCCGACGCTTATTTCATTATTTCGCCAAATTCATTTTGCGACACTTATCGCTCAAGGTCACGGGCAAAATTCCAAAGCACATGCAGGCGGCGACATTGAAAATTATCGCCAACGAAGAAGAAGAAGCAGAAGTAGAAGAAGCAGCCGCAGCAGCAGCAGCAGAAGCCCTATTAACGTAGAGGATATGACACATACCGAAATAAATATACTTGATACGAAAAATTCGTTTGGTTTTTGTTTTTTTTTTTGTAATTTCTGTTGATATATTTTAAATACTTATTTTCATATTTTATTCACATATTCCATTCTGGTTTTAAAACAAACTGCATTATTATTTTATTTCACAAATACAAATTTCGTTCTTTTGTGTGTGGAGTTGCTCTTTGTCAGATTCCAGATACACCTCTATTAATATACCTGCCCGATGTGCACGGATATACATACACATGTATGTATGTACATATGTACATATGTACTTTGCTCTTTGTCTTTAAAAACTGTTATTGGCTCAATTCACATTAATTGTTTTGTGACTGATGAAAATATATGTACTATGTATGTATGTACATATATATACTCGTTCCGCCAAGTATCGTTCTATATATATATACATAGATATATATATTATGTTTCTCTCGGTTGGAGTTTATGTTTAACATTTACGTTTTGTTAATTATACGCTTAATTGTCGCAATTTCATTGTTTCAGTTTTCGCTGCTTCCTGCTTTCTCCTCAGAATACCCTATCCCTATCGATAGACACACACACACACACACACACACATATAAACACACACAGACTAACACTAACAGTTACCCAGACACAGGCTGGCTGCTGTGTGCACTACAAAGTGTGTGTGTTTTTTTTATTACATAAAACATTCCGTTTTTTAATACATACATAACTTCTTTTGTTTTTCCATCATTTTTGTTGTTGTCATTTGTTTACTTGCTTGCTAAAAGTTACGGACAATTTTACACACACACACACACACGCAAAAAATTTTTACATACATAGGTATGTACATATATGTATGTATGTATGTATGTATATATATATATATTTATATATATTATTATTGAAGTGTGATATTTTATTAATGGTTTTTGTTATAACCTTCTTCTTCTCCTGCTCATAATATTCGACGATGCTTCTTCTTGCATAAATTTTAAAAGAATATATTTATTATATGTATATGTATATGTATTTTGTATGTATTTTAGATTTCATTAATTTATGCTTATTGTATTCATCTGTCAATCTCTTTAATTGAAATACAAAAACAATACTTTTTTTTCATTTTTCTTCGTTTGTTTTTTTTTTCAAATTTGATATACATATATAAGCACATACAATACGATTTGCAAAACTTGGAAATTAATTACAAATAGTATTCAAAGCGGTAGTTAAAAAATGAAAGCTACTGTCAAATTCCGAAATCTTTTTAACTTGCAACTAAAGAGCTTACCGTACCTTGGTCTAAACTTGGACAAATAAATAAAAAGTAAAACTGAAAAAACTGAAATACCAAAGTAAAAGTGAAATAATAAGAACTAAGGATTTTTCTTATATTTTTTTAAAACAATTTTCTTTTATTGATTTGACATACAAATTTCTGCGCCGGTTTTTGTTTTTTTTCTTTGTTTTTTTTTTGTTGGTTTTTTGTTGCTTACCACAAGAAATAGTAATTAATTAATCATAAGAATTAGAATAATCATAATAGTACTGCATAATTATAATATGTATAATTAATGTAATAGTTTTTTGCTACCGCAAGTGTATATATTACTTTTAAATAATATTTATATCAATATTCTTCTTTTTTTCATTCAATTTTTTTTTTGTGTTTTTTGTATTTTTTGCAGAGTTTTTATCAGCTGCTAAGTTTTGTTGTTGTTTTTTGTATTTTGACGCCAATTAAACATTGAATTGTTTAAGCATATTTTTTTTATATTTTAAATACGTTAATTTAACATTTAACTATGTACACAACAAATATGTTTAACGTTGGGTTTTTTGCTGCTAAAACTCTTCAAGCATTTCTTTTATTTATTTTTGTTTTTTTTTTTTTTGTGTTTGATTTCATTTTTCATATATGTATAAGTATATGTATTTTTTGTTGGGTTTTTCTTCAGTTTTTTTGTTTGTTTTGTTTTTCGTCTTTAAAATTAGAAAACAATAAAGTTAAACGCTTATGATCTTAAACATTTGTAATTCAAAAAAACTGAATTTTTAACTTAAATTTAGTTGAATTTCTCTCGCATGTTCTCATGTCAAAAAACAGCTTTTGTTAACGGAGATCGCAAAAAAAAAAAAAGTTCACACCATTTTTTTTTATATTCTTTTGGGGCATTCAAAGAATTAGACAAAAAAATTGATTTAAATATGCAGTTTTTTCAAAAAACATTTTTAAAAAGCAAGTAGTTGAACGCTTTGCTTGCCTACATAATAGTAGTAATAATAATAATAATATAATAATAATAGTAATAATAGTAATAATAATAATAATAATAGTAATAATAATAATAATTATAATTAAAATGTAAATATTATTTCAATAGTATGTACAACAAGTGCTTAAAACTAAAAAAACAATTAAAAGAAGCATCGGAAAATTGAAAAGAAACGAAAAGAAAAGCAAAGAAAAGCAAAGACTTGCTTAGAAAATAGAAAATGGAAAACGTGTGACAAATCAATTTGAAAAGCATTTTGGCGACTGCAAAGGGAAACCTCTGGGAAAATAACATGATTTTCATTTGTGTGTGTGTCTGTTGTTGTTGTTGTTGTTCTTCTTCTTCTTTTTCCTATTGTTGTTGTTGCATTTGTTACTGCTAAAAATATATGGTTTTTATGCATTGTTGCCTTTGCCCACATTTTAATACCTCGACGCAGCTGCGTCCAAATTTGTTTTGTTTTGTTTTTGTTTTTGTTTTTTCTTTTTTTTTTTTTTTTAGTTAATAACTTTTAGTTTAAACATTTAAATTGCATGCATTTTGAAACTTTGTACACTTGCTCATTGTTTTTGTTTTTTCTTGTTGTTTGTGAATTTCTTTAAAGTTAAAATAATTTAATTAAATTTGTTTGTTTTTTTATATATTTTTTGTATTTTTTGCTGGCTTTCTTTTTGTGGGATTTGTTGTTTCTTTTTTGCGCCGCATCAAATTACGTTTTCTTTTGTGTGGTCTCTCTGCCCCTTCTGCGGGTGGGGGGGGCAGGGGCGTGGCTGCTGCAGTGTTAAGGAAAGTTCGACCACGCCCCGCGCTTCAGTCTCAGCTCAGCTCCGGAGTTTACGCCTCCAACATGACTTTGTGCACGGCCGGCACACCGCTGGGCGTGCTGCTGCCGCTGCTGCTGCTGCTGCTGGTGGTGGGCGGTGTGCCGCTGGGCGTGGCAGCGGAGACAGCCGGACTGCTGGCGGCGGTGACCGTCACATCGGCGGACAGTGTTGGATAACGCTGCACAGCATTGGCAGCAGCGACAAGCGCATGCAACTTACTCGGCGGCGGCGTCGGCGACTTCTTGGACAGATTCAGCGGCTGGGCAGGATCAGCGATGTCCACCTGCAGCTCGATCATGGGCGAGGCCCGAGGCGGCGCCGTCACAATGCACGTGGACGTGGCCGCGCTCGAGGTGGCGGAGGCGGAGACGGAGTTGCTGCTGTTGCTGCTGCTGGTCGAGTGCGGCGACTGGAAATACTGACAACTGCTGCTGCCGCTGCCGCTGCTGCTGCTATTGCTGGAGGTGGAGCTGGATGAGGAGCTGGAGCTGGAGCTGGAACTGCTGCCGTTGCTGTGCGGCGAGACGGACTGCTGTCGCTGCTGGCAGCTGGTGGTGGCCCAACGCGCCTGCTGCTGCTGCAGCTGCAGCTGCTGCTGCTGTTGCTGGGGCGGCGGCGGCGGGGAGCTGGTCGAGGGCGAGGGGCAATGGCTGCTCGGACTGCGTCCGCCGCCCGTTGTGCTGCTGGCCGCTGTCGCCGGCTCGCGCATCAAGTAGTTCTGAATGATGTCCGAGCGCTTCATCTGCTCGGGCGTCATGCGCGGCTCGGCCATCAGGGATTTGGCCAGGACCGAGTGCGTGCTCGCCATGGAGCCCAGCTGCTGCTGCTGTTGTTGTTGCTGCTGCTGCTGCTGGCTGGGACTGCTGCGTGTCAGATGCATGTGCAGTTGACTGCTGGCCGCTGCCGCTGCTGCTGCTGCTGCTGCTCCGGCTGGTGGGGGCGTTTGCACCACACTGATGTGGGCGGAGTGGGGCGTGGGGCTCTGGCGCGGACTGTGCGCCGGCATGCTGGTCGAGCTGCTGGCATCCGCCTCGGCGGACTCGAACTCACGATGACGCAGCGCCCGGAACTTTTTGTGCGGCTTGTAGGCCTCGTCCATCAGCGAATTGGTATCGTAGAGCGGCGGCGCCTGGAGCACGCGCTTCAGCACCGGCATGTCCTCGACAATCTGGCGCTTCAGGTTGGCGCTGCTCGAGGGCTGGGGCGAGCGCACGGGCGACACCGAGACGCTCAGCTGGGCAACGCCCGCCGCTGTGGCCGCTTGGGCGGCATCGCTGCAGTCGAGCGCATCGTCGACGCTGGAGCGCGGACTGGAGCAGGAGCTGCTGCCGCCGGAGCTGACCGCCTTGCACTCGTTCTTCTCGTTGCCCGACTCAATGCCCGAGTCTGTGGGCGAGTCCAGCTTGCGGTACCGTGTGGCGCCCGAGGTCAGGTGATGGTGCAGCTGCGGATGCTGCTGATGGTGATTCACCTGCTGCTGCTGCTGCTGCTGCTGCGGCTGGGGCTGTTGCTGGTGGCGCACAATGGGCGTGATTGTCAGTCCGTTCTGGGTGAGATGCGCATGCGAACCGACAATGTCCAGGTCGGCAGCACCGGAGTCCCCGCTCGAGCCGGAATTGGCGCGATTGCGCAGCGGACAGCCGCCGGAGAGCGTTGCGGCGAGCAGCGGCGCGGAGCTGGCCAGCGCCGAGGGCGCACTATGATGCGACTGGGGCGGTGTGGCGGCCTGTTGCTGCTGCTGCGGCTGCTGCTGTTGCTGCTGCTGCTGTAGCTGGGTGCTGCTGGGTGTGCCATAGTCCAGGTCGGCCGACTCTGTGCTGGAGACGGAGCCCAGGGGGCTCTTGGCCGCCTCCACGTCCATGGCGTCCCAGCTGGCGGCTGGGCTCTTGCTGGCCGCATCGCCGTCCTCCATGCTCCACATCTGCTGGCGCAGCAGCTCCTTGTGCTCGGTGCGGAACACGACGAGCTTCTCGGTGTGCAGGGTGCTGAGGGTGCGCAGATCGGGCATTGTGTCGAGCAGCTTGGCGAGAAAGTCGGGCTGGTCGGGTCGATTCTGGGAGACAATGCACTGCAGGCAGCCCTTCAGGCGGCTGTACATCTTCTCGATGAGCTCCAAATTACGCAGACCGGGACGATCCGGCGTGATCAGCACGATGGCGCAGAAGAGTCCGATCTCGGCGTCTGTCAGATTCATCGAGTTCATGCGCTCCGCAAAGTTGAACGTCGAGTCCACCAGGAAGCGGGCATTCGCCCCGTTCTGGATGGCGTCGCGGCGCATCACCTGCCCGTTCAGGCAGATGATCGAGTTGATCGACGAGTCGAACATGCAAATGAGCCGCACGAAGAGCGCGTCGAAGAGGCCCGCCTTCAGCAGCGTGAACTTGTCGTCCTGGGTGAGCAACTGGAAGCCGGGTATCATGCCCGCAAAGTCGATGACGCCGCGTATGACATGCGCGAAGCGCTGTGAGAACTCCTGCTCTGACTGCAGTTCGGGCGCGGGATTGAGCGGACAGGCCTTCAATGAAACAAGAATAATATTCAAGAGCTTAATCATGTGTTCCTTTTCAAGTTTTTACTAACTAAATTTATAGCGCCACGATCCCATTGGTCTAAGCAGGTTGCTGGTTCAAATCCTAGGCTGGTGTGTCATATTGTTAGCTCTTAGCTATATCCCATGCTTATTACAATAAATATTTCCCACTTTTTGAATAACTCTCAAGAGTTCATTTTTGATGAGTGCTGGTTCGAATCCCACGCTTATGTATGAATGTTTGGATGAGCATAAATGTGTATGGATGAGCATGAATGTGTATGGATGTGTATGAATGTAAATTTTGATGTATGGATGTTGTATTCTCCCGAGTTGATAATTGTAATTCAATTTTAGAAGATGCTGGTTCAACACCCAGGATTGTGTATGAGTGTGTATGGATGACCATGAATGTGTATGGATGTGTATGAATGTGGATGTTGATTGTCCCGAGTTGATAATTTGTAATTCAATTTTAGAAGGTGCTGGTTCAACTCCGAGGGTAGTGTATGAGTGTGTATGGATGAGCATGAATGTGTATGGATGTGTATGAATGTGGATGTTGTTGTATGGATGTTGTATTGTCCCGAGTTGATAGTTTGTAATTAAATTTTAGAAGGTGCTGGCTCAACTCCCAGGATGAGCATGAATGTGTATGAATGTTATGAATGTGTATGAATGTGTATGAATGTGTATGAATGTGTATGAATGTGTTTGGATGTTGGTGTACGAATGTTGAATTGTCCTGAGTTGATAATTTGTAATTAATTTTTATGAGGTGCGGGCTCAAATCCCAGGATAGTTTATGAGTGTGTATGGATGAGCATGAATGTGTTTGGATATTGGTGTATTAATGTTGTATTGTGCTGGGGTGATAATTTGTAAATAAATATGTCCTCAATTATGGTTCTATTTTAGCAGGTGCTAGTTCAAATCCCTGTTCTAGGGTAGATAATTTGCAAAATATCGAATTGTTCCTGTTTGGTGGTTCAAATCCCAGGATAGTGTATGGATGTGTATGGATGAGTATGTATGAGTATTGATGATGGTGTATGGATGTTGCATTTCACTTTTTGAATCTTAGTTATATTTTAGAAGGGATAGGATATGGGTCCTATGTGGTTTTGTGTATATATGCTTTACTAATAACTTGATTAACTTTTCACTTTATAAAACGTAGGCAAGCAAGCGCAAGCATCAATACCGAAGCGTTCTAGTTTAGGCTGTGTTTACTGTAGCATGCCCCACTGGCCCCACTTAATTGCTAAGCATGCGGCAAGGCAAACTGTTGCATTTCCCACATCGTCATCGGCATTTTATAGGCACTATTCACGCGAAGGTCACCGAACCGCCTAGCCTCCACCTCCACCTCCACTTCCAACTGCAATCAATAATCATAACTATTAGTACTTCCGCACGCCCCCAGTCACACACTCAGCCCCGCCCCACAGCCACCCCTCGCACAACTAACTCTTGCCCAACCGTCGTCAAACGTCGCATTTCCTCATACGTTCGCTGGAAGCTTTTTTATTACAAAAGCTCAGTCGACGTCAGCGCGCGCGTTGGTTAGTTTTTAGTTTCTAGGGGCGGTTTTGCGCTCTCCCTCTCTCCCTCGCTCGCTCTCTCGCTCACTCTCTCTCGCACTATCCAACTCTCTCGCATACTTTGACAATTCTGTGCTGTGTTCTGTTATTTTTTCTTCCCGTTGCTTTGTGCTTTCGTCGCCTGTCGCTGACATTAGCACCAAGGTCGACGAACCAGAGTTCAAGGTTCCGGCTAGTTGTTGTCGCTGTTTTTTTTTTTTTTTGTTTTTTTTTTATTCGCCTGCGCGTGTGCCGGTTGGGCTTTTAGATTGTCGTTGGTGCTGCGGGTGGGTGGGTGTGTGTGTGTGTGTGTGAGAGGGTTGGGCTGAGGGCTGAGGGGAGTGGTAGGGCGCGCTTACTGTTTGTGACCCTATTGCTGCCGTTGTTCTGTCTATTGCAAACACTGTTCATGTTATTTCGCTAGTTCGCTTTCCGGGTTTCGAATTACATGCACGCGCCAGACAAACGCGAACGTGCCAATCAGATGCACCCCCTTCCACTCCCACTCCCACTCCCCGCCAGTTGTCATCTGGCAGCCTTGTTGCTCTTGATTCTTAATTTATAAATTATGTTTCATTTCACATACAAGCACATTTATGTACATATGTGTTTATAACTGTACAACAATCGTTCTGTTTCAACGAGCACACGTCGAAGACTTCCTCTGAATTTGTCTGATTAACCTTGAAAATTTCGCGCCCCAAAATGCCGGCCCATCCATAGTCGCACCCCCTCCCTTCTTCCCATCCTCCGCCCCATCGCGATGTTGGCCTTCGTCAAGTGCAAGCAAAAGCAACAACAATATGCCGGCAACCGGCACAACAACAACGATAAGACATTTCTTTTCTATTTTCTGCACCTTTTGCCGGCTCTTTGACGTCGACGTCGGCGTCGTCGTCGTCGTCAACGTTGCCTTCGGCATGGGATTCGTATCATTTTATAAAAATATATTTCTTGTTGTATTTGCGTTTCATTTGCGCAAAAGCGGAAATAGTTTGCGAAAATACTAATTGCGTGTGTGTGTGTGTGTGTGTGTGTGTGTGTGTACATTCTTTATGACTACCCCCTTGCTGTTAGATCCCCCCTTGTTGTATGCCGCCCGTCATGCGTATCACAAGACCTTCAATTTAAATTTTGGCTGCCAAAATAATTCCTAGAATTCTTGTAGCTGATACAATCCCAAGTCTAATCAACAGTATAGAAATTGCTATATTATGAGTTTTGCATTTAATACCGATCCTAATAATGCTCCCCCCTTCAGTTTCAGCCCTGGCACTTGCTGTTGCGTTTCCGCCTTGTCTCATGTGCAGTCATAACTCAATAGAATTTTGCATAGAATGCGCGACTGGCGCTTCCTTATAAGCATTGCAATATATATTGCAATTTAACCACCTGACTTATTCAAATGAACTGCGTCGTTGTGCTCGCTATCTCGCTCGCGCCCTCGCTTTTGGCACAGCCTCGCACAGCGCTTGCTCTCGCTCGCGCATTACAAATTACTAATAACGCTTGTTGTTGTGTTAATTGTTGTTGGCATTTTAGTTTTACGTTCTCTCTCTTTGACGGCGCTTGTCGTAAAAAGTGCCGTTGCCAGTCGTTGTGGTCTGCCTTTTGCATTCGCTTCCTCATGCTGATGACATTTACATTAACATTTGCGAGTGTGCGCGAGTGAACCGAACCGCTCGTTGCCCGCCTCTGCCTAGCTCTATGCATATTTGTATAATTTTTATATGTATATTATTATGTAAGTATTATTGCTTACTCACATACATACATACGTAAGTAGTTCTATATATAATACCCATATCAACTACATGCATACATACATACATACGTACATGCGCAAAAAAAAGCAACACACAGGCACAACCATTTCATTCATTCCAAGGTTAAAAAATAACTCGCCACAAGGTCGTCTCGCGACTCGCATGCGAGCGTTCTAAGTGTGTGCGTGTCTATGTATACATGTGTTTGTGTGTGTGTGATTATTCTACGCTGCAGACATGTGCAAATTATTCTTTTGGCAGCGACGCATCTCTCTCACGCTCCCTCTCCCTCTGTCTCTCTCTCTTTCAGCCTGATCGTTTTTGGACTCTCTTTGCCTATGTAAAAAGCTCTTACATAGTCATTGCTGTCGCTGCTAGAGCCTTGCACTTGACTTTGACAATGGAAATTCTTTGTTTACTATCGCGCTCTCTAGCCGCGCACCTTATCGCACACTCATTAACGCAACTGCCTGATAATTAGCCAAAAACAAATAGAAAGACGCGCACAGCCCTGCAACACCGTCACCCCCCCTCCCCCAGCGTTTGATTATGTTAATGTTTAATTCGAATTTATTTAAACAGCCGCCACATGTGCTTGACTATCTAAACACTTTCGCCCCTTCTTTGCCGTGCTCGCCATCTCTTTCCCACTCTCTTTGAAGTATGCATGTGTGTGTGTGGGCTATTTTGTTCCATTAATAATGACGCTACGCTTGACCTTGAGCTTCGGAAATGTATTTTGTTATTGTCGGAACACGTTTCTCGCTTGGCTTAACGTAGGTTTTTGGTTTCCTTATCGTCCAGTTCGATAATGCTAGGGGCTTTGCTATATAGGGTCCGCAAATGTGGCGACTACACTTCTAAAAAAAAAGTACCGCTTTGCTGGAAATAGGAACAGGCAATGCTCGCAAATGAGAAATTCCAGAAATATGCAATTAGAATTGGGATATTCCCAGTCGTAATGCATCCCAGTTCTATAATTGATCGTCTATATGGGCTACAATTGAAGGCCTTCGCCGTATCTCTGTGAGCCCAGATATCTGTCTGTGTGAAGCCCCCGCACCTGAACAATGACGTCAGTTGTAAGCGGATAGACAAACAGTTCCAAACAGACCAACATTCGAGTCAGTGACAGAATTTACAACCCATTTATCATTTGTTTGTCAGTCCGTCAGTCACATTTGACATTGACAGCTTTTGGCCAAAGTCGAAAGAGAAAAAGCCACAACAACAAACGTTTTAGGGCCATCAAGAACTTGACCCCAAAGCGCGACGCTTCAATGCCCCGATCTATGGCTGCGGCTGCGGCTGCGGCTAACTCTGTCTCTGTCCATGCCGGAGGTGGAGGTCTTGCCGCATAGCAGAACAGAAAGACGGAGCGCGCTGTGTGTAGACGCGTCTACGTGCGATGCCGTTGATTTCCTGGTTTAGAATCATGCAAACTGGTTCACCTTGGCGTATGAGTAACGCGCGCCAGCAACTAGTTTGTTGTTGTTATTGTTGTTATTGCTATTGTTGTTGTTGCTGTTGTTGTTGTTGTTGATCTATGCATGCCAATAAATGTGCCCCGGAAATGTGCTTGACACTCGCCTACGCGACAACCTTTAGCCACAACAGCTGCTTAAACTGAACTACACTCTACCCAATGGGATTCGAATTGGATTTGGGTGTCCCAATTGGACTTAAAGATTTGCTTTCACTTACCAGCAAGGTTGGCATTGAGTACGATGGGCAGTCTCTGGCGCGCTGTCGCATCGCCGAGACCTTCTCCTTGGTGAACTCGCATGTCTCGAGATGGGCGCGCAGCACGGCGGCCAGTAGGCGTGGCTGATCGTCCAATTCGGTGGCGAGGGCGCGCTGTTGGCCGCGATTCTGTGTGCTCTGCTGCATGGCGGCCAAAATGCGCGCCTTCTCTCGCTTGGGCACGCGACCAAAGCGCACAGCTGCAACGAGAAGAAAGAAGCAGAAGAGGGGGCAAATTAATAACACGCACAGTTACAAGTCTTATACATATGTATATATATAAAGGAGCTTATGTATATAGGTGTCACACTTCGGCGAACAGGTGCAAGGAGCAGCTGTTGTTCTGTTTGTCACGCAGGAAGCGGTTGTCATACCCGTACAGAGAGCTCACTGTACAGGCGACCCTGTAATTTATGGCCAGCAACGCCCTGAGCCCTGAGCCCTGCGCTGCGAGTTCGACTCGACAGACGCAGCCCTTCCAACTGGGTCATTGCCTGCGCTCAGCTGTCGTTCAACTCTTTCTGTTTTTTTGTTTTTTTTTTTTGGACTCGTTCTTGACGCTTGCTACACTTTCTCTTTTTTCTTTTTCTTTTGTGAGTTTGTAGATTTTAATTTGCACTAACGAATTTGTATGTGGGTGAACTTTCACATTTCACCAAGCTAGCGAGCAGAGACAGAGAAGACCGCAGACACGTTTCTGGTCACGTTTTGCAGATCAGCGATCAGCAATAAGCGATCCGCATTCGGGCCAGAGTCTGGGCCAAAAGCTGTCAAAGTTGCAGGCGCTAATTGAGTGAAGTGTTTGAAGTGGGTTAAGCTGAGCTCAGCCCAGCAAATGCAGACTTATCCATTTGTTCATAGGCCAAACTAACAAGCCTCAACTCTGTGCAGAAAGCAATTACAGTGGGCACTCGCTAATTAGAACTGCCAGAAATTGGCATCAAAATGCATATGCTAAGGAAATGCGCTAGAATAACAAGTCATTTAAGTACATCAACTATATCTATAGTTCATTTTAAATTATTTTTTTTTTAGTTTAAACGTAAGTTTAAATTGTTAGCAAATGAAAATCGAATTGCAGCGTACCAATGAGCGAGCGACCACTGTAAGCTACGCTCTTTCTTTCAATCCCTCTCTTTCTCTCTTAATCTCTCTCCATTTTGTTAGACAGCACATTTTTGCATTAGCCGCAAATGGCCAGAGGCCTTAAGCTAATCATTAATCAAACTAATTTGAATGCTTTGCCGTGATTAGCAGCGATATTTAGGCCTGAACTATTCATTTCCGACGAACCGCCCAAAACAAATGCTGGCCAACTTTTCAATGTCAATGCAATTTCTACAATTTCACTCAGTTGCCGCAAATAACTGGCACACAACAACAACAACAACAACAAAATCAGTAACAAAAGTGAAACAGCAAAAGCAACAACAACAGTAGCAGCAGCAACAGCAGCAGCAGCAGCAACTGGCAAAGACCAAACGAGGCGCTTTGCAGATTTTTCACTACTTTTTCCACAGCAGCCGCGCAGCAGCCGAGAAATCGCTTGACTGACTGACTGACTGAATGACTGACTGACTGAATGACCCAGTTGGCTGGCAGCGAAATTCAGGTCAAACGAAATGGAAAATGAACGCAGCTGCGACTGCGCGTAGAAATTGGAGCGAGCGAGCGCACAACTCAGCCAGCGACGCCTGCGCCAACAGCAGCAGCAGTAGCAGCAGCAGCGGCAGCAGCGACGCCTGCGTCAACTTTCGACGCTGCAAAGTTGGTCAAACATGAAGAGAGGCAGCAAAGCAATAGCAACGGCAGCTTTCGTTGTTTGCCGTTGTTTTTGTTGTAGTTTCTGTTGTAGCTGTTGTTGTTGTTGTTGTTGCTTTTTAGAAAATAGCAAAAGTCGCACAAGTGGGCAACGCCGTCGCATGTCGACTGCGTCGCTGCCTGAGTTTCATTTCAAGTTTAAAGCTCTTCCGCGGCCGCCGCACAAACAAAAACAAAAAAAGTAGATGAAAAAAAAAAAACTATTATTGTGTGCGTTTAAAAACGAGGTCAACACTTCAATGGCGCTTAAAGAGTTAGTTGCTGTTGTTTGGCAGCGGAGTAAAAGAAGAAACAAACAAAAAATGTAAACAAAACAAAATCAAGCAAATCAAAATCAAATTTGTTGCGTGCGCATGTAAAAAGTGCTTATTATTACACCTATTTAAGCATGCACTGGCATGCAGCTGGGCTGCTCATAACTGCATTTGCTTTTGTTGTGCTCTTCGATGGGCAATTGAAAGCGAATTTGTGTCATGTGGTCGGGCACCCAGTTGGACCTGGAGTTTGGAGTCGGTTCTTTGAGCTAATCTTGTCAACTTACGCGCATTGTGATAGTTCACGTTGCCTTTGAGTATGCCTTTCAATATTGGTAGTTCTTCGCCCATTTTAATATGTGTTTTGTGTTTTATTGGGGCTTGTTTAACTTGATTTGGTTATTCTCTGGGCTTGTTGCATTCACAGAGTTGGCACACACCCACTGAGAGATTCAAGATTCTCGTTTTGCTGCACACTGGGGCGCATTTAGATTACGTTTGGAATATTCATTAAATTTCCTTTTGGTTTCTTTTGGCACACACAATTTATGTTTTTGTTAAACTTTGGTTAAGTATTTCTTTTTGGGGTAACAGATTTTGTTTATTTTTATTCTTTCAACTTTCAACTTGTAGCTCAGGTACTCCACAGGTAATTGCAAAAATATTTCTGTTTCCTTCGCTTGATTTGTTTTGTAAAATTTTCTTTAAATATTTTCACTTAATATTTTCTAAACATACACGTATATATTATTTAATTTTTTTTGTTTTGTTATCAATGCAGGAACTTTCTTTGCTTTGTTTTTTTTTTTTTTTAGATTTAACTTTTGTTGTAAATATTTTGTTATAACAATAATTTTTGGAATTTTCTTTCGCTGAACTTTGCAGTTGCAGAATTTATTTATATTTTCAATTTGTGGGTTGAACTTCTTTTGTTTTACCGCGTAATCCAAAAAACGTGTTTCGGGTTCTGGGACTGGAACTTGAGATTTGAGACAGGTCGACTTTTCTTCACATTAACAGAGTTGCATATTAGGAATTATATTTGCAATATGCATATTTGTTTAATTTAATTGAATTAAATTAGTTGTAATTGTTTAAGAGACGGTTAGAAGAACGTTGAAATACACATAAATCGTGGTAGAGTGTATTTTGGATTTTATTGAAATAATTCGCTAACATGACAAAACTCGACAAGGTCTCGAACGCGACTAACTGTAAAAAGCAAAGCACGTTACGAATATACCCAAAGGTAGCTGCGAGACTGAGACCGAGACTGAGTCGAGTCGAGTCGAGCAACAACAGAAACAGAAACGGAAAAGGCAACTGAAAAAGCCGCCACCGTTCACAGCACAAAAAAGCGGTAGAGCCAACGACCAACGCAAAGTTCCAAAGAGAGCTGACTCAGAGAGCGAACGCGCGCAAGAGAGCGGTGACAAAGCTCAGTGAGTAATTGGAAGGGGCCAACAAACCAGAAAACAACTGCGCCGAGCGTCAATTTCTGATAAGAACAGTCGGGTTAGTCATAGAACCAAATGAGTTTAATTGTAGTGAAGCAATTTCTTTGTTTATAACTTACATTTTAGATATTATGTAAAAATAGTTTATTAGTTTTAAAATTAAACAGTTTAAATTGCAATTTATAATTGATAAACTTAAAATTAAACAAGCTGTAGCATAGTTGCAAGTTCAAGAACTGATAAGCTTCAAGCGCTGATAAGCTTGCAACAAGCTCTTGAGCAGCGCTTTATCATTATCTCAACATCTACCGCAACGAAAGTTCAATGCTCGTGGCGCCAAAAACAAACAACAAGAAGCCAAGTGCTATTAAAGAGAACGGTGCAACTTTTTTTCGCTCTTTAGCGCATGCTCTCTTGCATGCGCTCTTAATGCAGCAAAGCTTTTCAACACACTGTGTTGAGTTTGCCGCAAGTTAAGAGAGCGAACAAAAGCTTTGGCGAGCTTTTTGCAACAATTTGTAGCATTTTTCTGTGGATGGCGCCAAGAAACGGATCACGCATACGCCTGGTATGACAGCTGCTGCGGCGACATGAAGGCACCTCCCATTTGAAGGCAGCTTTGTAATGAGATTTGTTTGACAAGCCGTTAAAATACAATTTTTGTCATTTACGTGTTTACGCTCGCTTAATTTATGACTACGCTGGCCCCGTCTCGACCCAGCGTCTGAGGGTTGCAGTACGAGCGAGACGGAGACGGAGAGGGAGACGGAGAGAGATAGCCATAAATACAATGCAAATCGGAATTGCGGCTAGTGCATGGAGTCACGTAGCCAGCGTGTGGCAGGAGCTATGCCAGGGACAGTTGCTCCAGTTGCTGCAATTGCTGCAGTTGCTCCAGATGATTCATTGCGATGCATTCAATCAAAATTGAACAAATCTCGTTTGATTGAGGGCAACTTTGTGCCTGAGTCAGAGATTTGAGTCATTTGATTATTCAAATTGAATGCAAACTAATGCGGCGGAAGCAACAGCTCAGCGTATTTCGCACGTTATAAAGAAACAACTAGAGGAAGAAGAGGAAGCAGAAGAAGGAGCCATAACTCAGCAGCAACAACAACGACAGCAACAGCAACAACAACAACAATGACAAACAGACGGTCGTTGAACTTAGGCTTCGAAATGAGGCCAAAAAAACAAACAATGACGACAACGCAAGCCAAACAAAAAGGCAACAAAAGACAACAAAATAATTTAATAATATAAGCGAAACGAAGCGACGCTTTATTATGTTGTTGTTGTTGTTGTTGTTGCAACGTCATTGCCTCACATTTGGCACGCATATTTCTCGCTACGAAAGTAAAAGTGAAAGTTGCGCCGCATTTTGGGTAGAAATTTTCGTGCGTGTTGGAGAAGTGTTGGAGAAGACAACAACGAAATTGAGCAAGTTGGGCACACGGCCAGTGTTGTGTAGGGCAAAGAAATGTTGGGCTATTGCATAAGAGCGACGCGGCGGAAAAACTGGAATATTCGACCAAGAGTTTGGCTTAAAGAAAGTACATAAAAGCCCATAAAAGGGTATAAATAAAAAGTTATATTAATACTTATAAAGCCAACTAATGTTATATATGTATGTATGTATGTATGCAAAAAGCAGGCTGATTCTTGGGC